GTTGTGTGTTAAGTTAAAGCCAGAGTTATAAGGTTCTTGGTTGTGTGTTAAGTTAAAGCCAGAGTTATAATGTTCCTTGTTGTGTGTTAAGTTAGAGCCAGAGTTATGATGTTTCTTGGTTGTGTGTTAAGTTAAAGCCAGAGTTATAAGGTTCCTCATTGTGTGTTAAGTTAAAGCCAGAGTTATAAGGTTCCTTGTTGTGTGTTAAGTTAAAGCCAGAGTTATAATGTTTATTGTTGTGTGTTAAGTGAAAGCCAGAGTTATAATGTTCCTTGTTGCGTGTTAAGTTAAAGCCAGAGTTATAAGGTTCCTTGTTGTGTACTAAGTTAAAGCCAGAGTTATAATGTTTATTGTTGTGTGTTAAGTGAAAGCCAGAGTTATAATGTTCCTTGTTGCGTGTTAAGTTAAAGCCAGAGTTATAAGGTTCCTTGTTGTGTACTAAGTTAAAGCCAGGGTTATAATGTTCCTCGTTGTGTGTTAAGTTAAAATCAGTTATAATGTTCCTTGTTGTGTGTTAAGTTAGAGCCAGAGTTATAATGTTTATTGTTGTGTGCTAAGTTAGACCCAGAGTTATAATGTTCCTCGTTGTGTGTTAAGTTAGAGCCAGAGTTATGATGTTTCTTGTTGAGTGTTAAGTTAAAGCCAGGGTTATAATGTTCCTTGTTGTGTGTTAAGTTAAAGCCAGATTTATAAGGTTCCTTGTTGTGTGTTAAGTCAGAATTATAAATGTTACTTGTCGTGTGTTAAGTTAAAGTCGTCTTACAGTTGTTTCGAGCTAACCGAGTCTTTTACGTTACGACAGTTATTCTAGAACGTGCTACCCTATTTTGTTTGTTGAGACTTTTACTTCAATGAAGAAAGTTAAAACGAAACATTTTTTAATTGCGTAAACGATTTAACAATCTTTTTTCACCAGCACTTCTGACATTTACTGATGGACGTTACGTCGGCGCCATTTTAGACAGAAACGGGCTTCGACCTTCTCGATATTATCAAACCAAGGATAACAAGATCATAATGGCCAGTGAAGTTGGCGTGTTGGACATCCCATTGGACAACATAATCCTCAAAGTATGTTTTCTGTTCTTCAGATCTCGCGCAAGTCTCATCTCCACAAAATATCGTATCAGATAAACTTGTTTCCATTTTAGTGTTAATATCAAGCCTGAATTGAATAAATAAATGTTTAAATAACATTGATATTTAGTATTGGATTCGAAAATAAGATAATGCCATTTACAGTGTTAAAAGTTCAACTTCTTTCTTATTCCCAAATGTAAGCCAGAGGGTTTCTTATTCAGTGTTATTTGCCTGCCTGAACATAGGTGGCGCTGAGCATATCCGCTGACTCTATGATTTTGTTTGATGTACAGTTATTAAGCTCAGACTTATATTCCTATACGAAAATTCAAACTAATTAGATTTTAAATGATTAATGTTTTACATTCTAGACAAAGATTCATGTTTTCAGTTCTTGGAATAAGATTCGGCTATTTGATATTCTGTAATAAAACTTCCATCTTAAAATATTTAGCTTTAAAAAAAAGTTTTTATTTTTCAATATTAAAACAAAATAAAACGATATATATAATTATTTTTGTTTTTAATATATAATTATGTAAACCTTCTTACAGGGGCGTTTACGCCCTGGGAGAATGCTGCTCATCGATACACAAGAAAAGTCATTCATTCGTGACGAAGAACTCAAGCTGCAAATTGCCCGACAGCGCCCTCTGGGAGAATGGCTAAAAGAAATGGTAACTTCTAATCATTACGAAAACTTTCAGTACTTTATATTGAAAGCTGAAGGTTTTAGAGAAAATGTTGCTACAAATGGCGCATGTTCTGATACAATTGGTAGGTTACATGCTTTGGGAAGTAGCTTGTTGACCCTAAAAAGTTGTTCCACCCACTTAGTCACTTAGTTACGACTTATTAACACATTGTTCAGTTATGAAGCATCCACTTAGTTACGACTTATTAACACACTGTTCAGATATGAAGCACCCACTTAGTTACGACTTCTTAACACATTGTTCACACATGAAGCACCCAGTTAGTCACTTAGTTACGACTTCTTAACACATTGTTCACACATGAAGCACCCAGTTAGTCACTTAGTTACGACTTCTTAACACATTGTTCACACATGAAGCACCCAGTTAGTCACTTAGTTACGATTTATCTACTTAGATAATTAAGACTGTTTAACACATTCTTCAGACTTAGTTACGACAATATTGTGTACAACGATTGTCACTTAAGACTCGTTATAAATAATGAAGTGTTAAACCATAATAAAGAGAACTGTTTTTTTATTTATTATTGCAGAGGTCAGTTAAAAGTACTTATCTGTAATTGTGAAAATTTCCAGTTTACCTTGAAAGAACTGTATGCAGCTCATCGGAAAATCATCACCGGAAAAAGCATTGATTTGTTAAACTCTCCTTCGACTGAAGACGTGACTAACGGAACGACCAATCAGAGATGGCTTAGTATTATCAATGATCGGCGCCTATCTCTATTTGGCTACACAATTGAAACGGTCAATATGCTTGTTCTGCCCATGGTAAAAACCAAGTGAGTTGAAAAAAAGATTAAAAACGGACTATTTTCTTCGAGATTGTGATACTGTCGTGATTTGACCTCCTGTAAATGTTTTTGAATGAATTGTATAAGTCCCTTGAAACAAAAGTAACACACAATAAATCGTTATATTTGAGTTTTAAGAAACATCCTGCAGAGGGCAATGAAAACTTTTAACTTGATGAAAAATAAAAGGGTGAAATTATAAGCTCTTGTCACTACTTCGAAAAACGTATTACGTTTTCTGTTTGCTGTTTAAAATGTTATAGCTATAATTTTTTCTTGTTTAAATTGTGATAATATATCACATTTTGTGTTTAAATTGTTATAATGTATCATGTTGTTTGTTTAGATTGTTACAATGTATTACGTTTTCTGTTTAAATTGTTATTTAATACATAACATTTCTCTTGTTTTAAGCCTAATGGTCTTAAGCTGACATTCCCCAATTAAACAGATTTAATGTTTATTAGGTCAAATTAACAAAACCGGAGCGTTTCAGATGTTTGTTATATTTAATTTCACGACAAAACATCGGATGCTAATGTTTGTCTAATCGTTTAAAATTATTACATCTTATAAGATTTATTAAGACTTAAAAGGCTTATTCAAGAAAGTTTGAACCTGATAGAGTATGCTTCAAAATCGCTTTTATAGTATACTAGTATTACCCCTATTTATCTTTTTTGTCTCTCTCTCTCTTTTTTACAGTACGAGACTGGTAATTTGAATAGAATGTACAGGATATTACATGGATGAATGATCTTTGTCCAGAACAGTTACAGGACTTTCTGGATAAATCTGACGTGAAAATTAGATCCGCCAGGACAATTGCTTTTTAACATATACATATTTTAAATGTTCTTTAATAACGTTTACTGGTTTAATATGTTTGTTTGTTTTTAAGAACTTATATGTAGATTATTAACTCAAACAGAAGCAAGATTAATGCTTTATATTATTGTACAGGGACGTGGACCCTCTCACTATTAATAACACGTGGCAATGTTTTATTCAGAGTGGTTTAGAGGTGGTGACCCCCTCAGAATTGAAAGGATATTTTTCTTACATTGTTTCAGAGGTGGTGACCCCCTCAGAATTGAAAGGTTATTTTTCTTACATTGTTTCAGAGGTGGTGAGCCCCTCAAAATTGAAAGGATATTTTTCTTACATTGTTTGAGAGGTGGTGAACCCCTCAGAATTGATATGATATTTTTTCTACATTCTTTGGGAGGTGGTGAACCCCTCAGAATTGAAAGGATATTTTTCTTAAATTTTTTGAGAGGTGGTGAACCCCTCAGAATTGAAGGTATATATTTCTTACATTCTTTGGAAGGTGGTGAACCCATCAAAATTGAAAGGATATTTTCTTACATTGTTGCAGAGGTGGTGAACCCCTCAGAATTGAAAGAATATTTTTCTTACATTCTTTGGAAGGTGGTGAACCCATCAAAATTGAAAGGAAATTTTCTTACATTCTTCGGGAGGTGTTGAACCCCTCAGAATTGAAAGAATATTTTACTTACATTGTTTTAGGGGTGGTGTACTGAAAGCACGTGACGATATTTTTATAATTTATTCACTGGTATAATACCACATAATTAAGGGCAAGGGAATGATGAGTTGATATTGTGCTATATTTTACACTTTTCTTTGGAAATGATAGTTAATAAGATGTAATGTTTAACACTTCCCTGTCTTTCCTCACTTTTTTAGGCCTTGTCCTTGCACTATATGTATTCGCCAGTAGATAACGCTGATTCTTTTGGATGTTGTGTGACAAGACATTGTTTAAACACTGTAGATATACAGTTTAGCAATGATTGGTCAACATTTTAATCTATCTCATGTGACGTGTTTTTTTTTAATGATCGGTAAGAATTTTTACCTGTCTTGCGTGTGTTTTATTAATGGTCAGCATCTTTACCTGTCTCTCGTGTCGCTTTAACTGTTGGTCAACATTTTTGCCTGTCTCAAGTGTCGCTTTACCTATTGGTCAACATTTTAATATATCCATGGAAAATTATTTTGTATTCTAAACCAGTAGTTTGAACTTCAAACAGGTGTACTAACATAATACTTTATACCTATTTAAAATATTTGTGAAATATATTGTACCTTTACATCTGTTGGTTCTTCATGTCAACTGCACTTTGTATTATTTATTTTTTCTGTCGTCAAGTGTCTGTAGAAGAAGATCTGCCAATGGCCTAACGAGTTTACTTACGTTTTTGGACAACTCTTGTAGAAAAGTTAAACTTATTCGTATTGGAGTTAACTAACGTTATCTGTTTGCTTATTGGCCCTTTTTAATTTTGTCAACCTTTTTTAAACGTATGGTGAGATAATTCTAACGATTTCTTCCAGTTGTCAACTAAACTTTATTTTCCTTGCTGTGTTTCACTTTTTGCCTATCCTAAGCTGTGTTGGTTGTGTATACGTTTAACACATCTGATACACTGTAGGGGGATATAACATTTAATATCATATTTTGAATTGTTTTGTTTTTGATTAGGAAAGAGGCTCTTGGTTCGATGGGAAACGATGCCCCCCTAGCCTGTTTGTCTTTGTATCAGCCCCTGATCTACGACTACTTCAAGCAGCTTTTCGCGCAAGTCACCAACCCCCCTATCGACCCTTTCAGGGAGAAGATTGTCATGTCTTTGGTATGTTATTTAAATAACAGCAGTATTCACGATCTACAGGGAACAGCTCGTCTTATAACGTTGAAGTGAGACAGTAAACTTATAAACTATCTAACTGATTATTAACTTATTTCACAGGAAATGTAATCACATTTACATAGCACTTACCTGACTTTCCTCTTTTCTCATGAAATGCCTCATTGTATTTAAAGATTAACGGTATATCTGCTTGATTATCTAACCAAATAATTGACCAGTTTATGTATCACTCCCACAGAAAAGTGTCATTTTTGTCCATTAGTAACTACATTAGCCAAATACAGAGGATTAATTGCATTCTATTTGAATAATTTTAAAATGCTAATACAATGGTACCATTAGACAGTACAATGCTGCCAAGAGTAAGTATATAGCAAGGTTAATTTGTCACAGCCCTTTCTTATGAAGTGAGGTTGTTAAATGATATGAGGACTCAAAATGACGAAGTAAGGAACTGTAACATTCTTGATGGAAGCGGAAAAACTCGTAAAACAGAGCGTATAATCACCAACAGGCTCCGAAACCACACCTCAAGCCAACTCAGAGTAACGTCCATGTTCACAAAGTAAAGGTTACAGGTATATAAGAGAACCCTCCGACCCAAAACTTCATTACAATGAAACAATAAGTTGGCCAAGGGTCACAAATCAAAGTTCGGTCAAATCTCGAATCTCATTAGCTGTTTTTAATAGAGAAACGAAGTAGGATCGTAACAAGCCCATTCATCTATACACGAGTCAAGTATCCAAGCTTAGCTCCAAAAGACCTTCTTTAAACAGAACTGAAAGCTACAGTGTCCACGTACAATGGATGGTCTGTGGAAAATTTGTCAAGTTGTGTAGTCCAGGATGGATTTTTCCGTTCTTCACAGAAGTTTGTCTCCAGACTGACGGAAGAAGTTTTAAGGGCAGCATTGAACTTCCGAGATTGTTCTTATAGAGTGTGATAAACCTCAACAGTAATCATATGATCGTACTTATTGATGAAAAACACATCCACCGAAGAGACGGATAACAAAACATTTATTGGACGTTTTGGAATATACACATTCAGCTAATTACTATAATAAAGAAAACAACTGTAATTCCAATTATTCACTTGAAAGTTAAACAAAAGCTCGTGTATTACGATAGAGAAATAAAAGCAAGTGATTGAAACGTGGTAATAATATATATACCCACACTAAATGAATTAGTAAAGTATCTATATAGCTAATGAATAAGAATTGGTTAGAATAGGCTTAACTGAATAGAAGCTGAGATATTCCAACTGGAGAGGTTTTATTTAATAACTAAACCTTCTTTAATAAGCAGGTCCGTAGCCTAAAACTTTACAGCTAATCGAGGAGATTTTGTGTTCAGGAGCTTGACCATGTGGATAGAAGAGGTATAGACCCTTGTGTTTATGGATACGTTTGTTTGTTTGTTTTGGAATTTCGCGCAAAGCTACACGAGGGCTATCTGCGCTAGCCGTCCCTAATTTAGCAGTGTAAGACTAGAGGGAAGGCAGCTAGTCATCACCACCCACCGCCAACTCTTGGGCTACTCGTTTACCAACGAATAGTGGGATTGACCGGCACATTATAACGCCCCCACGGCTGAAAGGGTGAGCATGTTTGGTGGGATGCGGATTCGAACCCGCGACCCTCAGATTGGGAGTCGAGCGCTTTATCCACCTGGCCATGCCGGCCACGTTTATGGATACGTAAAAATAAGTTGGTTTTGGCAACTTAAACTACCACACGTATATAGGCAAATGGCCCATGAACAAAGTGGGGCTGGAATGGAAGTTTTCACATGGAAGTAATGTTTTGTCTCATTAGTTGGTAATTTAAGTAAATGTTTGGTGAGTGGATTTTTGGAATTATGCTCTGTTCACCTAAGTAATTAAGGCATACAT